AATTTATTAACAAGATTGTTAGAAAAACTCCAAATAAACTAATATAGTCAATAAATTGTAGAAAATTACTATAACAAAAGCAAAATATAGCATGTTGTTTGTGAATAAACAACTTTAAAATTCTGTATAAATCAAGATTTTGTAAAACCAGGAAATTAAATACATTCAAATTATAACAGACACATTATGAAAACATGTATTCTATTAATTACCGTATTTGACGGCATATAAGATGCCCTTTTTTTCTTTTTAACTAAAAATATCTTTTAAAATTCCCCTGCGTCTTATATGCCATATGTAGGTTTAAAACTCACAATAGTCGGCCAAAATTAACTATCTGGCAACTACTATTAGTTTAGACTTTAGAGTAACTTTCATGTGCCTATTGTCATTATTTAAAAGGCTATTATGCAGATTAAAAGTGTTATTGATAATATTCATTATATTAATTTCATCACATTTAATATTAGTACTTCGTTTCACTAAAATTATATGCAATAAATTCAAATTATATATTTGTAAAATATATTTATTTCATTAATATTTTTCTTGTGATAACTTCTGGGCGCATTGGTATAAATACATTTAGAATTTTTATATCCTAATTATTCCACTAAGACGTTTACAAGACGCAGGTTGTACAAATCATATAAAGGAAAATTTTTGACTGAATTTTAATGGTAACTGTACTGTTTTTCTCACTTGTAATAATTGCTTGATTTTTATTTTGTTTTTTCTTACCTTTGGATATAAAAGTTTTTATAGGCTAGTGATCTTTTCTTTCCTATTATTTTTCATTTAATTGTAATCATGGCTTGTTTAACCAAAATAATACCTCATAAATTTAGCCTAGGCTGTACCATTTACTAATAATTTTACTAATTACTAATTTTTTTTGGTCTTAAATGCCATCAAATACGGTAATCCATTTCCAATAAAATAAAAAAAATTTTTAATGAAAATGATTAAAATACAATTCTTTTGGAGTGGATTCCAAATTAAAATGAAATTTAATTAACTTCCAAGATATTGAGAAGGAAAAAGATTAATGACTAAGTGGCCATTATTTATTTTAGTTATTTCCCATCCGCTCATAGATTTTTTTTTAAAGATTGGCCAATTTATTTTCTCAAGAGTTGTTTGCTAATCCTGCAGACAATAGCAATCTCACATTTTATCCCCAAAGAAAACTTTGTCCAATTTTTGTCTAATCTAGTCCAAGCTGATACGAATAATAGTAAAACAACAAGTCTAATCTCGAGATAAACTTGAGACTGACATTTTTTTTCTACTTTTCTCATTCAAATTACCAAGATCGGTTATTTTACAGATAGCAGATATGAAATGGACATTTTGTTAAGTCATTACTGCTATTATAGATTTAGTCATTATTATTATGGATTTAGTCATTATTATTATTATTATAGATTTAGTCATTATTATTATTATTATTATACATTTAGTCATTATTATTATAATACATTTAGTCATTATTATTATAATACATTTAGTCATTATTATTATTATTATAATAGATTTAGTCATTATTATTATTATAGATTTAACCATTATTATTATTATAGATTTAGTCATTATTATTATTATTATAGATTTAGTCATTATTATTATAGATTTAGTCATTATTATTATAGATTTAGTCATTATTATTATTATAGATTTAGTCATTATTATTATAGATTTAACCATTGTTATTATTATTATTATTATAGATTTAGTCATTGCTATTATTATCATTATTTCCATTGTCATTAATTTAATTTCCAGAATATAGAAGTATGTGGACCATGTTTTTTTTTTTTTTGTTTTTTTTGCTCCAAAATTGCCTTTTTTCAACAAAGGGAAAGCATACCCTCTCATTCAATTCCAATGACTATTTTTATCTCTTTACTGTTCAGGGAATGAAACTCAATCTACACTAGTAGAATTAATTCTTGGCTATTATTGTTCCATCAAAATCCCAGCTGTTACTATCCAGACAGGCTGTTGATGACTTTTTTGACTAACAGGATGTACAGTTTCCTTTAAATAGTCAGATTTACATTATTCAAACCATTATCCTCATCTTCACTGCCATTTTCACAACGTTTCGGCTGTTGTATGCTCCGGCCTTCTTCAGATGATTGGAATTTTGAACCAAACCCTTTATTTCATCCACTGGGGTAGACTGTTCTCGTCCACATGCCATGCCTCCCAGTTATTTCTCCAAGTTTTTTCGTTCAACACTGCTGTAGCCTGATATTGAACTCACAATTTTTTGGGGTCTAGTCACTGGATCTAACCAACACTTTTATCCACTGGGCTATGTGTTCCAGTGGCAGTGAAGATAAGGATAGCAGTCCAAATAATGTAAATAATCATAATACCTCATCTCCAAGATAGAAACAGAGAAACAATGCAATTATTAATAAGAGTTGAAATTAATGCATGCAAGATCTTACAGCTCTAGCATCACTCCTTTATAGTCAGCCAATGAACCTTTCAACCCGCCATTGTACCTGAAAAGAAACAATACAGCTATTAATAAGGAGAGTTAAAATGAACGCATGCAAGATCTCACAGCTCTAGCACTACTCCTTTATAGTCAGCCAATGAACATTTCAACTAACCCTCGTATATAAATTTTTAAAGTTTTTTTTTTTTTTATGAACACTGAATGACTTTAGAAAGAAGTCTCTATTGATCCAGTTAGTAGGATTATCATAGCTTATTAATCATTTCCAATAAAAAGATGCTTTTATTTTGTTTGAAACTAATTAAATAACTGAATGTTTTAATAGTGTCTCCACTATAATTTGAATCTGTTAAATTTGTTCCTTTTATCAAATCCTAATTTCTACAGATTTTTAAAGTCTTTCTTCATAAACACAACAGATACATTTAGGATTTGTGTTAGTACTGCCTTAGCCACCAAAACTATGTTACCTCTCCTGGTTAGCAGCTGATAGATATCACACATTTTTTTTTTTTACACATTATATGTAGAAAACTGGCTATTAAATTAGTCTGTGAGAATAACTATCAAGTGTGACTCATTATGGCTTTATTTTGATAGTACTGATTTTTAAACTTGATATATTTTTTAAATCTGTTGGTCAGTTAAGTGCTTTACGTGATACACACTTCAGTGATCATGTTTCTTTCAATTCATGACATACTAGTCAGATATTTTCCCACAATTGTTGCTGTTTCTTTCTGCAGTAGAAAAGGCTACCAAACCCAGTTTTTCCTCTTATTCAACCCATAGACAGAGGAAGAAGACTTGAATTCATACCTTTCTTGACTTTTTTTACATATAAGTGAATGTAACAAATCCAAGTGGAATTTGAACCTGGCTCTCCAATTTCTCATTCTGGGCCAATATCCATTACAACCCAACGCACATCCATTTTTTAAAATGCTGTGTCTATTTTATCTTTCTTTAAGTTATAAGTTAATTAAATTTTATTCAAATTCTGATCTGGCTTGTTACAGTCTCTTACACACAAATACCTTTGGTAAAGGTATGAATCTATCTTCCCCCCCTGACTATGGGTTAAATAGTAGAACAGCAGTAGGATTGTTGTAGCTTATTAATAATTTCCACTAGAAGATGCTTTTATTTTGTCTGAAATTAATTGACTGATTATGTTTTATTTTAATAATGTGTCCACTATAATTTGAATCAGTTTAATTTGTTTATTTTATCAAATATTAATTTCTACAGAATTGATATTTATATTTGCTATACAACCCTCGTCCCAATGAATGGTTTCCCATTGAAAGAAATAAAAGAAAATACATCCTGCCACTGCTTGAAAGAAAACACACCCAGCCACTACTTATAGTGCTGACCACTAGGCATTTCTTGACGTACTGTTTGATCCATTTTTACTATCCAGATGCTTGTCATTATTCTCTGCACAATCGCCATCTTTTTTCTCACTATAGGAGCAAGGGATAATTCTCATTTTCCACTGTTTATCATGGTTTGATTATCTTCTCATCTACAGCTGACCACAATTTCTTTCAATCGTGGCTGGTTGAAAAGTGATGTGTGTGCAGTGAGCATGAGGGTGTAATATAGAGAAATGCATGTACAAGTGTTGTGAGAAACCAGTCAGTCTATGAGTATCTGTGTGTCTGTTGATCTGTCTGTGAAGGACTAATTCTTATAGAGGTCTGTGACTAAAGAAGTATCGAAGAGTTAACTCCTCTTAGTTTTCCTATTTTTCAAACTGCTACTAGAAGATGCTCTCCAGTTCTATAAATATTGGGTTGGTGCATAATTATCAGGCGTTTTTGATGGCAAATTATTTGTTAATAAAAATGACTGTTTTGTTTTACTTTTTTTAATAAAAATATTATTATTCCCAGGCTGTAAAAATGTGTGTCAATATAATTATATGCTCCAAAATAATAATTTTAAAATTTTATTGTTGAATTATGTTTCTTTTTTTTATGTTTAAAAACACCTGATAATTATGCACCAAACCAATATTTGGCATTATCTTTTTCTTGCTCTCTTTCTCCTTACATTTCAGCTGAAACTGCAACAATGTAAATCTCTCATGGAGATTTTCATTTTTCCCTTGGGGGAGGGGGGGGAATACACACACACATTCACACACTTCATGACCAAAAACATTACACATTCATTTATACAGACATTATTGTCTTTGTCATTTTGTAAACCGTTTGTTGTTTAATACATTATTTGTCTGTACATATATATTTATTTCCTGTTGTTTCTTTACATTTATTTATGGTGGACTCAATCTCAGAGTCTACCATATTTTGTTGTGGGCATTTCACACAAGTGTTTATCTCACAATGTATACACACAGCCCACCACAGGTGTACATGACTCAAAAAAGATTAAGAACCATTCATGCTTACTTTTGATTATAATGATTGTCAAAGGTGAAAAATAAGACTTTTAACAATGTACCATTGAATGAGTATATTGTTTATATACTTTATATATTTTTGTCAATTTACAGCTCGGAATTTTGACCTGAAGAAATCAGAAGCCATGTTCCGGAAGGTTAGTAAAAAAAAAAAAAAAAAAAAAAAATTGGTAACAACTATTTTGAAAATTGCTCTTCAAACAATTTTGTGTGGGAGTTAAAGCAACATGAGCCAGATTTTTTTTTTTTTTTTTTTTTCAGGTAAAATAATTTTAAAAGTGAGAAATTTAATCGAGAAAAAAACTTATTCCCATTTTTCCATATCATACATGTATTTCTAACTTGAGAACACATCCCAATTTTGATTTGTTAATTCTTGGAAAAACAAATACTTCAACATGAAATTAATTAAAATAAAACTTTAAAAAAAAAATAATTTCCTCTCAATAAGATCTAGGATAAATTAATCATTGTGGTCTTCCAGGAAACATGAATAAATGTCTGCAATAAGACATAATGTTAAAAAGAATGGTTTTCCCATTACACCAATTTTTTTTAACCCCTTCACACTTTGGCAATGTTTATTGTTTTAAAAAGCAATGATTAGAATATCTGTCAATATCTGTGAGATGAGAGATAATGATTTCTTGCATTATTTACACTATTCGGACTGTTATCTTCATTGCCATATTCACAACGTTCGGCCGTTGTATGCTCCCACCTTATTCAGGCCGTTATCCTAATCTTCACTGCCATATTCACAACGTTTCGACCATTGTACTCTCTGGCCTTCTTCAGATGATTGGAATTTCAAACCGAACCCTTTATTTCATCCACTGGGGTAGACTGTTCTCGTCCACATGCCATGCCTCCCAGTTATTTCTCCAAGTTTTTTGGTTCAACACTGCTGTAGCCTGATATTGAACTCACAACTTTTTTTGTTCTAGTCACTGGATCTAACCAACACTTTTATCCACTGGGCTATGTGTTCCAGTGGCAGTGAAGATAAGGATAGCAGTCCAAATAATGTAAATAATCATAATACTTCATCTCCGAGATAGAAACAGAGAAACAATGCAATTATTAATAAGAGTTGAAATTAATGCATGCAAGATCTCACAGCTCTAGCATCACTCCTTTATAGTCAGCCAATGTTTTGAACAAAACCATTTATTTCATCGACCGGGGTAGATTGCTCTAGCTCCATATGCCATGACTCTTCCAAATATCTCAGTTATTTCCCTTTGACTCAACCCTCCAAGTAAGGTTCTCTACTGCTGTAAATAATGCAAGCAATGATTAGAATTGTAATAAAACCTAACCACATGATGAAAGTGAATTTATACATTATTTATTCTTGAGAATTTACAAAATATTAAACACTATTTATTTATTAGATTTTAATTTTACAAGAATATTTTTATATTTACAACCTTCTAAAAACTAATATAATTAGAACTAATGCAATGTAATATTTATCATTTACATTTATTCATCTTTAAATTTTCTTCTTGAATTTCAGAATCTTCTATGGCGCCAAGAAATTGGAGCTGACACAATTCTTGAGAATTACACTGACCCAGAAGTTATCCAGAAATACTATACTGGTGGAAGTATAGGCTTTGACAAAACGGGGTGCCCAATTTGGTATGATCCAATTGGCAATATTGACATGCAGGGTGAGATTTTAAAATTCATATTCATATATAAGAAAAGACAAAATGAAAATTTTTCTATCCCAATACATTTCATTCCTTGAAGAACATTATATATATTTAGTTGGATTGATGTGAGTTTTGTGAGCCTGGGTTTCACTCTCTGATAATAAAGAGAGGTGAAATCAGGAAATCAAACTCTCTGATAATAAAAGATAGTGTAAATCATTGTGTGTGTGTGTATATATATATATATATAATATATATATACATATACACAATTTATAACATAAATATTTTACATGTATATATATATCACATGACATTGATTTCAAAGCCTAAAATAAGCCTTTTAAAAATTAATTTAAATGTGCATATATAATATATATATAAATTGTTGTGTGTGTGTGTGTGTGTGTGTGTGTGTGTGTGTATATATATATATATATATATATATATAAAAATATATATATACATTTATATACACAAAAATTTTTACAAAAAATGTATATATATATATTTTACATACAAACAATTCACATGCTATTATATGCCAAATGTTTTGAACCACCCTTTGGATTTCAAAGAATCCCCTAAAAATTGAAGGTTTCATGCCTTTTTAAAAATTAATTTAATATCTCGCTATTTTGGAAATGTTACATTATATAATCTGATCATGATTTTTATGCTTAAAAGTTGTTTTTTTTTTCTTTTTTACTAATGTTCACCCTATACAAGGCCCAAGAGTCACTCAAGATAGAGGGTTATTGAAGGAGGTTGCTGTGTGAGCAGTAAGAGCACTGACTCATAATGATTTAATTTGACTCATAATGATTTAAAAAAAAAAAACTTTTTTCTTACATACAACAATAGTCAGTTATTGAGATAAACAAATCCTTGATTAGTCATGCAAAAAAATTTATTATTTAGTGAAAATTAAATATATCACATCACAAACAATTCACAAGATGTCAGAGTTTATCTTTGTGTACATATGCATACTAACCCCCATCCTCCCACCTACCTGTCTCTTAAGCTTGATAGGTGTTTGCAGACAGTACTTTGTGACCCTCGGTATCTTATCAACATTTGCCTCTTTCTACCTAAATTTATATTCATTACAATTTAAACTAAGCACAACTGATTATTAAAGGGTAAAAAAATTTTGCAGATTTTGACATCATTCTGGCGTCTTTTTTTTCTTTCTCCAAATCTGTAAATTAATTTTTTTATGTTAAGTTTCAAAAATATGCCAGATGAAAGTCACTATTTTTTTTTTATCCGTAATGTTGAATGAGTTAAAATTATTTAACCTTTTAAAAAGAAAAATCTCAAGTTGACGTTAAAATTTGTTGCAAATTTTGTTTAAAATGGAATTATCTATTATGACAGGTCTCTAATTTCTATTTAGATACATTGTATTTATTTTCTATTTTTCTAGTTGAATTGTTCACCTATATTGCATATTATCCATTAATGTACATAATTAGGTTACAACAAAATTTGTATTTTATATGAAAACTACCTCATGAAAATTGAGATGTGGTAAGCCCTGTATCATAGCTTTGGTGGGACACACAAGAATGTTACACTGGCCCTGTTCTATTGAGGTTATATATATATATATATATATATATATATATATATATATATATACACATATATATATATATATATATATATATATATATATATATATATATGTGTGTATATATATATATAATAACACAATGTTGTTGTAAAATTTAATTTCACCCAAGTGTTTTTGTAGAAAGCTCAGTGATATTTGGAGGACCAGATTCAAAATGATTATTTATTTTTTCATGCTATATCCCTACAGGACTTAGAAATCATGACTCTCCACACCTTCCTTTTTCATTATCTGTGAATAATAATTCTTTATTATCTACATTCTGGGTAAGACGATAAACTACGTCCAACAGAAAGACCTCAGGGGGTTTTGAGGAGCATGGAACCACCACTTAATTGCTGATGTTCCCAGGTCCACCCTGACTCCGGGGTGGTAGCAGCTGTTTGGGTCCCAGCTATGGGCAAATAGGTAACTCCCAAATTGGGGTCAAAACATTATGAAAGTATGAAAAATAGGTTTTAATACCAGAAATACTTTGTAAAAAATTATTACCAACAATACATTATTACCAGCAATACATTTTTGAAGGAAAAAAATATTACCAGCAATAAAAATTTTATCGGCATTAAATAACCCATTGAGGTTGATATGCCGTAACCAAACCAAAAATCTTTCAAAACTGTGAAATTTGAGGTATGAGATTCACAATGTTATTGCTTGATTTATGTATTTTTAAGCCATTTTTCTTTAGCAAGTAGGCAATCATGGCTCTCCACAGATTCCTTTTTGGTGAAGTTCATATAAAAAGAAACACTGGACTGGATTGCAATATGAACCTGAATTGGTTGAAATATTGTGATGAAATAACAAATGTGAGGATTTTGGTTAAAGTGTTAGGCTTGGAATCAAAGTATTATTGTTCAATTCCTTTGTTTGTTTTTTTTGGGTTTTTTTTAGTGTTCTTTTCTTTTCTCCATTCAGGTCTGTTACGATCTGCAAAGCGGTCAGCCATGGTGAAGAACAAAGTGGGTATGATGGAAAGAATGAACAAGCTCTTCAAGGAATGCTCCAAAAAGGTACATGCAATTGGTTACAATTGGGTGGGGGTGGTAAGGAAGCAGTATCTTTTTCAGCAAAAGAATATTGTCTGAAACTACCTCATCAAAACTAAACACTCATGTCTTCATATACAATTTATACAGCACACGCCCATATACACACACTGTGTGTGTGTATATATATATATATATATATATATATATATATATATATAATCATCCCCTGATGAGTGGACAGACAGGCCCTCCTACGAAACTTTGAAGTCGAGATGCTGAAGATCAAAAATGATAAACTTTTACCTATATATATATATATATATATATATATATATAATAATTTTACCCCAAGCAAGGTGACAGTACCACTAGAATGTAATGGGTGAGAGAATAGGGAGGAAAAGACTAAAAAAAGGAACAGGAGTTGAGAAGACAGAAGATGCTGATGTTGCATTTAAATTTTTGAAGATTGTAGTTACCAGGGAAGAAAAAAATCAGAAGGGAGTTCCCAATGGTGAGAAGTGGCAGTTGCATGTAGCTAGTGCAACAGTAAAATGGTGAGACCTAGTTGCCAATCTAGTAGCATGCTTAAATTCATGCAGTCAGGTCACCAGGGGAAAAAAAGCTCACCAGAACAGTTACCATTTGTAAATATTTGTAGAAAAGACAGAGAGAAGCCATGTCACATCAATGAGAAAATGATTGAAATCGAGATGCCAGGTCATGATTGATTACATTACAAACTCTTCTTTGGATTCTGTCAGGAATCTTGATGTATAGCAGAAGCACCGGACCTGATATGCCAAAATTATTCAATGCACAGATGAATGGTAGATTTATAAATGTGCAAGATGAATTCTGAAGAGAAAAATTTTCTGCCACGACACTATGAACAAACTTTCCTTGCAATAGACATAGTTAATTCAATATAGCCAATCCGCTTCATGTCAGGGGAAAATATGAGGCCAAGACACTATGTTGAGCTAAGTTTTTTTTTTATTTCAAGTTTTAATTAATAGTTTAAACAAATTACATATGAAAAACGTTTAGTCATCAAAATATATCCCATCATATTCTGTCTGTTGCCATTGTTGTGCCAGAAGCTCAATTCCACACTTACTATATATACTCACAGACAGGTAGCACTTTTTTTACCTAGAATTTCACAAAATATTAGGGGTGCGAACCTATCCGCTTGACATAAATGTAAAACAACACAACCTTGTCATCATGATTTCTGAGAAAACAGAAATGAGACCCATAAACACTAAAGCTGTGGATTCAGTTCTGAATGAATTTTAAAACTGTAACTTGATATATAAATAGATAAACACTTTTTTTCAAAATGTGCCATAACATTTTTTCTATAGTTAATTTTTTTTTTTTTTTTCTTTTTTTTTTTTGTCGGTTTGACTTGATATAAAAATAATATGTAGTAAATATAAAAATACTGGTACAACAGTCATTTCCTTTTGTTTCCATGATGATTGACAAAATGTATTTTAACTGCAAAAGTGTATTAATAATTGTAAGTTTTAAAATAAAGCTAGAAATCTGATAATTCTTACATTTAAAAAGGGCTGTGTAACTCCTCAGATTATAGTGTGATCTATCTGTGAGTCAATAGTAAATCATCACTTATTAAGCCATAAAGCAGGGATGCAACCTCTCTGGTGGGGGCAACCTATCCACAAGTATATACGGTATACTGTTTGGTTGGTTTAGTGGCAAAAACTCCCTGCACTCATTTTCAATTTTATCCACATTTTCCATGCAGGAGATGAACCATGGCTCAGAACAGGTGGTAATATGATGATGCAAGGTCTGTGCTGTAGACAGGTTGAGGCAGTACTTCCAGCCCATCGAGTCTGAGCTTGGTCACATTGGCAGTGTGTATTTGGGTGCACTGTCATGCTGTAGGGGGTATGCATCTTCAATTCACTAATGCCAGGTAGTGGGCATTTCAAAGCATGATATACTAGTTGCAGTTGTTGAGCATAAAGGTAAGTATTTATAGCATGGTCATCTGGGTCAAGCTCAAAGTAAAATTCCATCAAATATTGAACATGACTTTCTGTTCAAACCACCCTAATTTGACAATAGGTTCTAAAGTCTGGTTAAAATGAAGCCACTGATTTTTCTTATTAGAATTATGAAAATAGATCCATTTTTAATCCCCAGTTACAATTTGACACCAAAAACGGGCATCTTGAGCAATTCTTTTCAAATGTTCACATACGTATACATAAAAACTAGGAAATGTTTATCAATCTAACATGTTTCACTTTTAGTAAAACTTCATCAGAGAATGAATTTTTCTCTATATAGAGTAAAACCTAGATGATGATGTTTGTTGAGGGAAGACATAGCAATTAATTCAATATAATCACTCTACTTCATATTAGTAGAAAATGTAAGACAAAGAAAGTACAATGTATTGCTCTACTGGAGGTTTGCATCAGCCATGCTGAGGGAAAGCAAGCCTGTTTCTCTATGATGATTAAAGGGTAGCAGTTTCATTTTGGATGTGTTAAAATTTACAAGCCATTTCTTGCTCCAGTTAACAACTACTTGGAGGTCATTTTCATGAGCAGCAGCCAGTTTTACATTGTTGGACTCATCGAGTTTACTATTGAAACAGGAGTAAATAGGTGAGTCATCAGCATAAATACCTAGTTGGAAACTGATTACTCAGGAAGGTCGTTAAAGTTAAAAAAATAACATAGGTCCAAGGATAGAGCCCTTCAAGACCCCCACATTAATGTGAGATGATCTAGAAGCATAGCCATTCAACATAACCTTCATTATCTGATTGTTTTTTTTAAGAAAGATTAGATTAAGTTAATTATTCAGCCAGAGACATCATAGCCCTTGAACTTGTGGAGAAGGCCAGCATACCAAACCCTGTCAAGTGCCTTTTGAGGTATCCAAAACCACAACCTGAGCCTCACTGTTCTTATCTTAAAGCCTGATAGAAAAATTCAGTGATAAGTTAATACATCAGCAGTTGACCTAGATCAGTGGTTTCCAAACAATGCAGCATGTCTCATATGTGTGGCAGAAGAAGATATCAGGTGAGGTAGAATGATTGAAAGACAATCAGATTTAGAAACAGTTTTAAAAAAATTTATATGCCAAAATAAATGATTTCAAAATTTAAAATATTATGGATTATTTGTAATAGTTATAAATAATTATATCAGTGATATTTTTGTATTATATTAAGAACATATTTACTAGGGTCCACAAATTGGAGGAGAGAGTTATCAATAATAATGTTATGTCTTTGAATACACAGTTATCTCCCTTTAACCTTCTCTGTATTTTTTTTATTATTTTTAAATGTACTTTTTATCACATAAAATTTGAGGTGCAAGCAAATTTTCATTCTGAAAATGTCCTAGAGAAGAAGAAAATTTGGGATCCACTGACCTAGGAAAATGAAAGACATACTGTTTATCTGAAAGAAGACTGTGTGAAGTGAGTTTTATATTTATATATTATCTATATATGTTTTAGAATGGGAAGAAGATTAACCAATTAATATGTATAATGGACCTAAAAAACCTTGGACGTAAACACCTGTGGAAACCAGGTAAGTGAATTTTCTGGAATTTTTTTTCTAACATTCTGTTTTAGAATTTCATTAATTATTTTCATTTTTTTTTTTTTTCTATTCTCATATGAATCTCTTTTAATGATGGACGAGAAGTTTTCTATTGGATTAATCTTTAGGAAGGCTTGGATGTTTACTTAAAGGTGGTAGTTGGGTGTTTTTCCAATGTTCTTAATATTCTGCACCTTTTCACTCTGCTTGGATTGGCAGCACCAATTTAATGTGTTGGCTACTTAATAAAATAATTGTGTAAGGTTTCTTATGAGAATATTTTATAATATATGAATTAATGGTGGTGAAAAAGGTTACATGCACAAAATAACAGACTGGTTGATTTACAATGCAAGATAACATTTATTAAACAAAATTAACAAAAGTAAAGTTTAAGACAAGAGTTTCTTTTCCTAGAAGTAAATTGCATACACAATGAAATGTTAATGTTTGAGTGTGACTTGCTTGTGTAGGTGTGTGTTTTAGTGTGAAGTGTCACAGATCTTTTAGCTTCAGTGTGTAAAGTTCATATCACTTACTTCAAAAGGAGGAAATCTTAGAAGGGAATTACTTTAAATGTTTGTGTTGTTTTTATACCTCCAGCGCTGCTGCTGATACTAGGTTTATTAAAAGCAGTTGCTGGTACTAGGTTTATTAAAATGCTACACCAACTTTTTAAAATATATTTTTGCTGGTTCATCTACTGTATTTTTTTTTTTTCTTTTGCTTCAAATCTCTTTCATAACATTGTTCTATGTCTGTTCAATTTTTCGTAATTTCCTATATTGCATTCCCATTATTCAATAACAGAATATCATTTCGCTTTTAAAGTTATCTTTCTTATGACCCATGGCAATCTTTATATATCTGAAATAAAAAATAAATATAAGTACACACATATATATATATATATATATATATATATATATATATATATATATATTTATTATATATATAATCACAAATCCAATTTCAGGATTACAAATTCAGAAAGAAATTGGGAAATATAACTTCCAATTTCTTTTTTGAATTTACAAATTGATGATTTGGATCGTGATTAATTCCAATGTAATAAATTATAACTGGAAATTTGAGCCTTTTTTAAATTTACTCTGTCCTGGACATTGAGTTCGTCAAATGGATTCTATCCTCTTGGGAATTTTATATATTATCCTTAATGTGTATATGGACATTGAGTTCTATCTATATATCTATTCTATATATCTATATGGGAATTTATCTATATATTGACCACTAATATCTATCTATCTATCTATATATCTATATATATCTATCTATCTATCTATCTATCTATCTATCTATATATATATATTTTAAATTAAATTTCCAGTAAGCAATGAATAACCATGACTGCCAGTTTCATATGTTTTTACATGATCATCAGGCTATTGGTAACTGTATTTTGTGAAAATGGGAGCCTTTAAACCCCCAGGCAAGTCCGAGGTGTTAAAAGTGTAGCTTGTGTGTGTGTGTGTGTGTATATATCATGCACACAGCAATCAAACTCCCTGAAGGAATAGCCATCTGACCAAAATTAAAAAAAAAAAAAAAAAAAATAAAAATACAAATCCACAATTATTAAAAAAAAAACAAAAAAAAAAAAAAAACAGTGGTTCACTGGTGTGACAAAAGAGTGTCTCAATATCATGGTGGAAAGCTTTGCCATTTAACATAGCATTGAGCACTTTTTTCCTGTGTGCATCAATAGCAGACTCTTTTTCTGCTAATTTTATTCTTATATATATTTTTATTACTTCAGATGTTATTTTAAGTCGATGCTTCATTTATTTTAAACTGTATCTAATGTTTACCAGCCTGCACCCACAAGAAAACTTGATTTTAAAAAATAAAAAAAAATAAAAAATATGCTCTCCAGTAGGATTTGAACCTGCATTCCCCTTTACATGAGAAATCACCATGTGATCCAGCATGCTTTGACCACTCATTCACGAAGAGCTTCACAAGCAAGCAAGGTTCTATTTGCCTTTAAAGTATATTGACTTGTTCAGATTTTCTCAAAAGCCATAACTGTTTTAGATCCAAAGAGTAAACAAAGCAATTTCTAAAGAATTAATGGATTTCATTTTTTTAAATCCAACATTTTTTTTTTTTTTTTTTTTTTTTTTTTTTTTTTAGTGGATACCAGTGTTTGAAAAGAACTTCCATTTATTTTAAACAGTATTTAATTAGAGTCTGTCTATATTTCTGAGATGAGGTATTATGTACAGTATTTACATTAGTCGGACTATTGTCCTCATCTTTGTTGCCATATTTGTCACAACGTTTCGGCCTTCTTCAGGTGGTTGGAATTTCGAACTGAACCCTTTATTTCAGGTGTTCTAGCTTGAACTGAATGTTTGATTTATTTCAGTTATCTGTTCTATTTTCCCTCTGAAAGTTCTCCACTGCCTTCTTTGGGTTTGTCACTGGATCTAACCAACGCCTTTATCCACTGTGCCATGTGTCCTTGAGGACATCTGGGTATGAACTTCTGAGTATTATAAACCTAATGTTTTCAATGTGGTGAGTTCAATTCCTGGTTAAGGCAGTGGAGAACTTTCAGAGGGAAAATTAGCAGGAGATAACTGATAACTGACATCCATCAAACATGGCACGTGGAACTAGAAACAGTCTACCCCAAGGATCGAAATAAAGGGTTCAGTTAAAATTCCAACCACCTGAAGAAGGCCGGATGATAACGCAAAAACGTTGTGACAAATATGGCGACAAAGATGAGAACAATAGTCCGACTAATGTAAATACAGTATTTAATTACTGATCTGCTCCCTCAAGAAAACTTATTAAAGAAAATGAGTCATCCAAAAAAACAGAGCATCTACTTAAATATGAGCATCTACTAAAAATAATGTTGGACAATATAAAACATATGCTAGATTTAAAAAAAAATAAAATAATAAAATCCATAAATTCTGTTAGGAAAATTTTTTTGTGTGATGTGTTTTGGCCTTTAGGATTTCATTAGACTAGAATAATATTTCTGTTGGTGTAATTACCCAATAACGATGGGGAATATAATTTTTTTTCACTCCTATCAAGGCAAGAGTGCCACTAGCACAAGATTTTACAGAGAGTGAGAGCAAGAGTAAAGAGGGGTGTTTGAGGAAAGGATATAGAAAAGGACTGAGATCAGGATCGAGGCATCAGAAGATGTCAATTGACATTACATTTGAATATTTGAAGATTATAGCTATCAGTGAAGGAAGTAGGAGAGAGGGAGTTCCACTGTTGGGAAGTGTGAGAGAAGAAGCTATTGTAGTAGAAAAGGCGATTACATTTAACTGTTTTGACAGTGAAAGAGTGAGATGCCAACCTAGCAGTGTGTTTAAATACATGCAGTTGGGGTACTAGTGAAAGTAGCTCATCAGAGTTGCCATGAAAATATTTGTAGAAAAGACAGAGGGATGTCACTGCATGTCTGTGAGGAAGTGGCTGCAGATGAGATGCCAGATCAGGACCTATCACATTGCATATCCGTCTCTGGATTTTGTCAAGATGAACAGTGGGGGCACCAGAGTATATATGGCAATAGTATTCAATGCAAGTGGGGAATATGGAAAAAAAAAAAAAAAAAAGCAGACATTGGTTATAATTATGCAGAGACAGAAAGTGCTGAAAATGTTGGGATGTTGAACTTTTAAACTTTTAAATTTAACCTTTAATTTCCATTTTTTTATATATATATTAAAGACATTTTTATGTTTAACGTTGTTATTTATAGATACAAGTATTTTAAATAATTATTTAATACTGTTTATCATAAACAGAGCATTTGCTTAAATACTTGTATCTATAAATAACAACGTTAAACATAAAAATGTCTTTAATAAATAAAATGTCGGACCTTGTCCATTTCTTATATATATATATCTCTTTTGGGTATATCATCTAGCCGATTCTATTTAATTTCTTTTATTTTAGTTTGTTTTTATCACTTTTTTTATTAAGTATCCCACATTGTGATAATAGAAGATTAGCCAAGAAAGGGGAAATGTTGTATGAACCTGGCAACAAATTTACAGTGGATGATCTAGCGATTAAAGCACTTCTTATACACTTCCATCTTAGCAAAATTGCTTTCTATTATAATTAAAGCAGTATTTTTTAAATTGTAATTATGGTCAGACTCAATAGAGAAAGCTCATGGAATTGTTTATATTGCATGAACTGAGTGTTATAATAGATATAGATGATAACGATCTATGCAGAAACAACAGCCTTATATTTATTGAAAATAGTACCAGTAGAAAAATTGATAGCATTAGAAAAAAGCTCTTTAGATAATTTAAAGAATTGGCTTTAACATTACAATTGATACCAGTTTAAAGACTGTTGAATATATCGATATCAAATTAAATTTATCAACGCTGGAAAGTGAGGATTGGTCAGCTCCAGCCCAGATATGGCAGCAATACCCCATTTACTTACATTATTTACATTATTTGTACTGTTATCCTCATCTTCATTGCCATATTCACAATGTTTTGGCTGTTATATGCTGTGGACTTCTCCAGGTGATTGGAATTTTGAACTGAACCCTTTATTTCATCAAAAAGGACACATGGCCCAGTGGATAAAGATTTTGGTTAGATCCAGTGACTAGACTCAGAGAGTTGGGAGTTCAATACCGGGCCACAGCAGTGGAACCAAACTTGGAAAGTTGAGTTGAAATAACTGAGGCATCTGGAAGAGGCATGGCATGTGGAACTAGAACAATCTACCCTGGTGGATGAAATAAAGGGTTTGGTTCAAAATTCCAATCACCTGAAGAAGGCCAGAGCATACAATGACCGAAATATTGTGAATATGGCAATGAAGATAAGGATAACAGTCCAAATAATGTAAGCAATCATAATACTTCATCTCGGAGATAAATAAATACTCTATTTCTGGTCTGATCTGCCTCTTGTAAGGATGAAGCCGGGCAGGAGGACTTTATCAAGGCTGGAAAATGAAGACTGTGCAGCTCCAGCCCAGATATGGTAGCAATACGCCATTTTTGGTTTGATCTGGTTCTTGTAAAGTATAAAGGTCTGAACTGGTAGAACTAAAGAACAGAATTCTCCTGAACATTTTGAATAGAAATAGTGATAGACTTGATACATTTGTGGCCTAAGAGGCTTCAGGGTAAAAAATAAGTAATCTCCCCACATTTTGAACGCTATCAACATTGGATAGTGAACATGAGCAACTCCAGCCCAGATATGGGAGCAGTATTTTTGGTTTGATCTGGCTTTTTTAAAGGTAAAACATGAAGTCAGGTACTTTCTGGAGCAGTACAAGGAACTAACCATTTTCCCAGCTTCTTTAGTGATGGTTTGCATAGAAGTTCAATTTTGTCTGGAGGGAGTTCAAGTCCCAATAGATGGTCAAAACCAGGAGCCTCTTTCAAATTACAACCATTCATAATGATCGGCAGAAACAGAGTTTACTTGGTCACCAGATTATAGTGGCATGGAGCTTAGAGGTTAAAATGAACAGTTGATTTGCCCACGCCAAAAAGATTAATGAAGGATGTTAATGACAAGAAAACACATGGGTAATTTCAAGAAAACAAGATAATGAATTTATTCATGAATTTTCATACTTGAAGTCAATTCTGTATATCGTTTCAAGAAAATAAATCAAAATTCTTAAAGTCAATAGTTTCAACATATTACCATGAAGAGGAAATGTTCAAAAAACAGATTAAATGACTGTCTATATTTCTGAGATGAGGTATTATGTACAGTATTTACATTAGTCGGACTATTGTCCTCATCTTTGTCGCCATATTTGTCACAACGTTTCGGCCGTTGTACGCTCCGGCCTTCTTCAGGTGGTTGGAATTTCTCAGAAGTTCATACCCAGATGTCCTCAAGGACACATGGCACGGTGGATAAAGGTGTTGGTTAGATCCAGTGACAGACTCAAAGAAGGTGAGTTCAATTCCTGGTTAAGGCAGTGGAGAACTTTCAGAGGGAAAATTAGCAGGAGATAACTGATAACTGACATCCATCAAACATGGCACGTGGAACTAGAACAGTTTACCCCAGTGATTGAAATAAAGGGTTCAGTTCGAAATTCCAACCACCTGAAGAAGGTTGGAGCGTACAACGGCCGAAACGTTGTGACAAATATGGCGACAAAGATGAGGACAATAGTCCGACTAATGTAAATACTGTAGATTAAATGACCTGACACAAAATAATATTCAAAAATGTTTAAAACAAAGGTAAGAATGTTTGTTACTCACAAGAGATATATAGTTTGCATACATTCAAAAGTAGACAAAGAGAAATAGTTTGACATACTTAGCTTTCTTGGATTGTTGATAGAAAATTCTTTGGAGTGCAGCATGCTGTTAAAGGCTGATAATATAATTGGCAATTAATATTACACTGGCAAGAACTTCAACACTGGTTGCAATGAACAGAAAGGAAAACTTTCACTTGACTTCAGACACTCTTCTGATTAATTTAATTTTTCACCTCATTTTATATCAAAACAAATTTTACATTGGTGCAGTATTTTCTTTCCCTCTTTCTTGGCTGACAAGCCAATTTTTGTGAAGGCGGGGTTTTCATTGGTCCAAAAATAATTTTACATAGGCTCACAAATTCTTTCCTCCTCCTTCAGTCCTCTGAACTTGAAGGGAGTGGGTGAAGGGAGTTATTACTTCACACTCAATACTTATTCTTGTAAATAAACAATCTAATAAAGAATGTTTTATATTATTGTTATAAATTCTCAAGAACAAAAAAATTTACAAATTCACTTTCATCATATGTTGAGGTTTTATTCCAAGTCTAAACATCACTTTTTTAAACAATAAACATTGCCAAAGAATGAAGGTAGTTAAAAAAAGCAGTGTCATGGTTTAAAAAAATATCCTTTTGACACTGTCTAATTGCAGGCACATTTACCCATAGTTGGTACGTTTAGTGTATGAAATATGTCAACAAATGGAACAATTATTATGGGACTAAAGTAGTATTATATAAATAATAATAGACTGCCTCTGTCCCATAATAGTTGGTACATTTAGTGTATGAAATATGTAGATAAATGGAACAATTATTATGGGACAGAAGTAGTATTGTATAAATAATAGACTGCCTCCGTCCCATAATGGTTGGTACATTTAGTGAATGAAATGTGTAGGCAAATTGATCAATTATTGTTGAACAAAGATAGTATAAAATTTAATATATATTTATTTTCTGCTAAGTCAGTGTGTTTTTTGATTTCTCACATATTTTTATTTTATCTGATTTTTTTTTTCTGATTTTTTTTTTCTCACATCTTCAGACTGTTCTTTTAAACAACCTTTTATTTCTGCTCTCTCTCTCTCTCTCTCTTTTGTAGGGATTGATGTATTTGTTGAAATGATTTGCATGTTTGAGGATCACTACCCAGAAACTCTGAAACAATGCTTCATCATTAATGGTTGGTATTTCTCTTGGAGAAATTGTTCCACTTCCCTAAATTGAAACCAATATTTGTGCCATCTTTTTAATGAAAGAATTTGAATACAAAATGGTTTGGATTTGTCTTCAAGACACTTTAACTTCATAATTCTTGTCAACTTTCCATTAGTTACTCATAGTTCCTGTTTTCCTTTCTTGGCATAAAATTCGGTGCTTCCCTTTTTTTAAATTATGTCAGTGCACAGTAAAAAAAAAAAACAAAAAAAAACGATCTTACTACCCCCTTAATTAGAAAACACTGACCCATTTCCATTAATATCTTTACTAGACCAGTCTTCAACAAAGCAGTAAAGATTCTGCAATTACATACATGCAATTATTTTCCAAGAGTGTCTGACACAATTCTAGATCAATCTAGATTGTAAGCCTTGTCTCAAGATTCAGTGTCGTCTAATTTTGAAACAATGAAATTCAACTCTAAATGGACAGAGCAATTTATGTTGCACTAGTTAGATGTTGCTTCCTATCATTGTGGCCATGTATCTTCACATTGAATAATGGTTGGATGAAATTATTAAAATTTGATACTTTCTCCACACAGCATTGTATTTCTTCTTCAAATCTGCCATGACACACACTTTGGGAATAGTCAATTTCTCGTTGACCACAACTGATTCATCATAAAATGGAAGAAAACAGTTTTTCACTCTGTACACAATTTAAACTGATAAAAAATTAAAAATTAATAAAAAGTACTTAATAAAAAAAATAGTTAAATGTTAATTAATAAAAAATAGTTTAAAATTGCTATGCTTCTTCCTATCCTCATTGCTGGACAATGGTTTTGGATCTAGACTGGTTACCAACCATGGCTAAAGAGCACAGTCTTTCATCTGCATTATCTTATCTCATATGCAGGTAACACAATAATGGCAATACATTATATAAAAAAAAAATCAAAGATGATTATACATTCATTTACTCAGTTGGATGTGCAGGTTTGGTTTCGATTATTTTGTTTTATGGCTCATCAACACCTCAATGGGTTATTTAATGCTGACAAAATTTTTTATTGCTGGTAATATTTTGTTTTGTCAAAAATCTGTTTCTGATAATATTTTTCTTTCAAAATTGTATTGCTGGTAATAATTTTTTTCAAAAAAGTATTGCTGGTAATAGTTAACTATTTGCCCATTGCTGGGACCACCCAGGGTCAGGGTGGACCTGGGAACACCAGCAATTAAGAGTTGGTTCCACGCTCCTCAAAACCTCCTAATCAGAGGCCTTGCTGCTGGACATAGTTCGTCTTACCCAGGACATGGATGTAGTTTAACATCTTACCCAGGACAAGGATGTGCAGGTGGAGCAATGGATAGTGACTGGGAATGTGAAATTAGAGATCTGAGTTCACATTCAGGTCAAGTTTAATTATATTCAATTTCACAAAAATGGGAAAGGTATGAATCCATGTATACACCCACCCAACCCACTGTTTCCCTCTGTTGTGGCCAGGTATTGAACTCGCAACTCTTTGGGTTCAATACCTGGCCACAGCAGAGGTGAACAAAACTTGGAGAGTTGAGTTACTAAAGGGAATTAACTGAAACTGAGACATCCAGAAAAGGCATGGCATGTGGAACTAGAATAATCTACCCCCATCAACTAAATAAAGGGTTCAGTTTAAAATTCCAATACATATCACCTGAAGAAGGCCGGAGCAAACAAAGGCCAAAATATTGTGAATATGACAATAAAGATGAAGACAACAGTGCCTACAATGTAGTGTAAATAGTTACAATACATCATCTCAGAAATACAGACAGATCCTGAAGAAGGCCGGAGTGTGCAATGGCCAAAATGTCATGAATATGACAATAAAGACTGAATTCAAAGTATTTTGAATTTTAGGCTCCTCTTTGGTTTTTTGGGGGGTTTTTTTGTTGCTTTTGATTTTAATTCTTAAGTTGTTTATTTCTTTTTGGCAAGAAATGGCAAACATTAAAAATAATGTTTATTTATTGCGATATTTGTTTGGTTTTTTTTCCTTCCAGCTGCATCAGTGTTTCCAATTTTGTTCAACATTACAAAGCCTTTCCTTAGTTCAGAAACAAAGAAGAAAATCCACATTCTTGGTGGTGAGTAAAGCCAAAGACGATTCTTTTATTTTCTGTAGTGTTTCTGTTCCGTCAGGGCAGAAGAGATCTGATGAATATAACTTTTCTTATTCCAGTTTCTCTTTGCCAAGTCTTGTATTCATTCAAAATAATTTAATTTCCTTCACCCAAAGACTTTACATGTGGAAACAAAAAAGAAAATAATATTCACACTTTTTTTCCCATATTATTTTTTTTTTTTTTTTTTTTTTTCAAGCATTTCACCCCAAGCAAGGTGTGATGCCACTCACCTACAAAGGGTAACAGAGAGTGTGAGCAAGAGTAAAGAGGTGTGACAGAAGAAAGGATGAAAAAAACAAGGAATAGATCAAGGCGTTTGGTGATGTCGATTGACATTACATTTGAATAGTTGGAGATTATAGCTATCAGGAAACAAGTAATAGGAAGGGAATTCCACAGACAGGAGGTGTGAGACATGAAGCTATTGGAGTAGAAGAGACGGTTACATTTAACTGTTTCAACAGTGAAAGGCTGGGATCGAGATGCCAGCCTAGTTGCACGTTTAAATTCATGCAGCCTGGGAACTAGCGAAAGTAGCTCATTGGAGCAGTTACTGTGAAAGTATTTATAGAAAAGACAGAGGGAGGTTGTAGCGTTTCCCAAACAGTCTCGGGCCCAGTGTCTAAACTCCCCGCATTGATAGCAGCGTGTTCCGTGCTTCCGGCAGTCTTTTACCATGTGGCCTTTAATGCTATACCTGTAGCATGTCCCACTGGTGCGTGGGCCGCTCTTGGTGGGAGACATGCCGACACTACAGGGTGGGTGCACAGCCACAACAACGTTCTGACTTTCATCTCTGGTAGTTGTCAGCACTCTCGCTCTTGCTAGCAACTTCCCTACAGTCAGTGCTTCAACGTTCGGTGCCTGTCGGAGTTCAAGGGAGATCGCATCAAGAAAACCCATGACAAAGGCTAGTTTGGTGAGCCTTTCCATCTCGGCTCCCTCGAATCCGGCCAATCAAACTATCTGACTACATCTACGCGCTCAGTGGTCCACCTGACAATGGTCAGTTTTCTATATGCTGAAAACATGTCGTCTGCGAATGCCTGTTTCAGTCTGGCTTCGATTTGATCGATGTCTCCTTGATCTTCCTCCTCCATTTCCATGTAGAGGGCTAGTGCGTCCCCCTCCAAATATAATGGTAGCAGACTAGCCACATCGTCCACCTGCTGAAGTCTCGCCACCAGCCTGACCTTTTTCAGCCATGCCAACACATCACCCTGGCCAGAAAACAGTTTTATAATGTCGCTGCTTATGCAAACCTTCGCCATATTCAGCTGAAATAGCTTGTAGAAAAAAGAAGAGAGAAAAAAAACAAAAGTGACGAGAGGGTTCGCTGGCAAACCAGCTGTTCTTCACCGTCATTCGCCTCAAAGAAATGAATTGCAAGACTCATTTTCTTGGCCGTTACACCGGGCAGTCGTGAAATGGACACCCAAATCAGACACACCTACTTCAACCGCCTCTTGGTGTGCCAGTCTATTTGCACATCCGACTCTGTTTCACGAAATCCGCCAAATGACTCGCTTCTGCTGTGCTGCTGACACCTCGCCTTTTTATGCCAGTCCAACACTGATGAAATTTGCATGTGTACTGGTACAATCTCGTTTTGGACGAGATCGGCACGTATAAATCGCATCTTCAACAGCAGCCATGTGTTCTATCAGATTTATCATGCAAGCAAGACACATTCGCACATGTTTTGACCTCCAAGGTAAATCATCACAGAGGTAGCAACACATCTGTGAGAGAGCGACTATAGACAAGATGGCAGATCAGGCTTATAAGATGTCAATGAAGTTTGTACAAAAGACATATTAAAATATATCAAAAAATATATCAAAAATATCTTGGGAGACTTGCCTTGCCACAAGGAGAAAAAGACCCTAACTAATTGCAGTGGAAATGGAAGCATGGAGAGTCGGTAAAGGAGAATCAGGTAGATGTGCAAAGCACATACTTCCTACCCTGAACTTTAAGGAAAAATTACTCCAGGTCCACAGATGAGCTGTGGACTTGACCTTCTCCTGTATACCTCCAACCAATTTATTTCCAACAGGAGATTGAGACCGAACCAGACACCAAGTATCTTGACCAGCCTTGTCTGTCCAGAGAAAAGGCCCATAAAGAGAAGCCCCCTTCCATGTGCCCAACTGCAAGCTAACACTTATTACGGTTGATCTTGGCCCTTGTCACCGTCTTGTACCCTCCGATCTATTTGCCAACTTTGCCAATTTTGGCTCTGCTCGACACAAGAACCAAAACATCATCAACATAAGCAAAATACCTGGTAGCACCAGGTAAGGAAATTCTGCATAGGACCAGATTTGCCTTTAATTTGCAAAAGAAAGGCTCCAACTCAAGAATGTAAAGCAAAGGCAAAAGTGGACAATTTTGACGAATGGAGCAACACAACACAAAAGACTCTGATCTTACTCCATTCACTTCTACCAGTGCACTAGGAGACACATACAGAAGTCAGATTCAGGTGCAAAAGTATGGCCAAAATCTAGTCAATCCTATCAAAAGCATTGGACTGATCTAAATTAATCAGCACATGTTCACTGTCAACTTCCTCGATTGTCCTGAATAGTCCTGCCCTTCACAGCACAAGTCTGCTCAGAGCCAAACTAGAGGACAGCCTGCAAATGGCTGGCTAAGATCTTGGCTAAAATCTTCAACTCCATGTTTAACATCGTTAAAGGCCGAAAATTACCTATCCCATCTCCACTGTTTTTGTCCTTGCCTAATAACTTGATCACACCCCTGGTGAAGTATTGAGGTATAGACCCCTGCTTCATCCAGTTGTTGTAGATCAGTTCCAACAAAGGAACAAGGATGGGCACATGCCTCAAATACAGTTCACGTGGAAGACCATCTAATCCCAGAGTTTTATCTAGCCAACCAGCTTCAGCACTTCCCAGATAGATTCTGTAAAGGGACCCTTGCATCCAGCTGCTTCAGCTGCCTCGAGGCAGGAAAAGTCAGTCAAATAGGCATTGAACTGAAGTGCTCTCAGACCAGGCTCCCCGGTAAATCATGAAAGTAGTCATGAAAAGCCTCATATATGCCTTTGCCTGATAAGCAGACTGTGACTACAAACAATGTGGCTCTCATAATGTTGATTTAGATGCCTTTGAACCTCCTCTCTTCATGCAGTTTAGTGGCTATATTCATTGCCTCGGACGATATTCTTTTTAACCTAGCCCTAACTACCAGAGCTTGATCTTTCTTGATAAGCAAGGAAGTCACCTTCGTCCTAGCTAAGGCTACTTCCTCACTATCATGGGATTTGATTGCCTAATTAACTTACACTTCATATACAGTTTGCACTGCTAAATTAAATTGAGTAGGTGACTATAATCAGCAACATTGGATTTTAATATATCCCACCACTTATTCCCAACCACGTCTTCTGTCAATTCCTGCTGTAGGATTAGTAGCAGCTGGTCCTGGAAATCTTGCTCGCCAAATAACGATGTGTTCAATTTCCAGTAGCCAGCCATCCTGACCTTATGCTTATCTAATTTTACATAACCCTATGATCCATGTAAACTATAGAATGGAAACTTGAACCTCCTAAGAGTCCTATGTTGACATACTTAAGTAGGACACTGTCAGTGTAGCTACAACACACCACCAAATCCGAGCTGCCCTATTAGTGCAACTCCACACTACCTTCTGAGAGAATTAGAAATCCTACCAGGATTCATTATTGGTGGCTACAATCTTAACAACATTGTAAAATAATCTCTATGACAATGGTAGCAGTAATTCTAAATCATTTTATTCTCATACACTTGGCCACTCAGCTGTTTACATAACACCAGAGGAAGTAACTCATGTCAAGTGTCTGCGTGTGGAAGTCCTGCCCACTCATTATCTAATGAGAATTTCCATTTCTACTCTACAAACATAAGATATGCAGATGATACAGTGTTGATAACAGAAACTGAAAGAAAACTACAAAAACTCCTATAGAAAGTTGTGAAGGAAAGCAACAAGAAAGGACTAAACATCAACTGCAAGAAAACAGAATGCATGGTCGTTAGCAAAAGAGACAGCCCAAAATTCAAATTACAAATTGGGGATACCAAAATGAAACAAGCAGAAAAATTTAAATATCTAAGAAGTGTTTTAACAGAGAATAAAAGGTGCAACACTGAAATTCGAATGTGCATTGGATAGTCAAAGTTGCATTTCAAAAGCTAAGTATTAAGAAACAGAAAAATATTCTTAGAATGAAAGCAGAGTACTGAACTGTTACATGATATCAGTCTCCCTATATGGCAGTGAATGCTGGACAATCTCATCAAAGATGAAGAGACTTGAAGCAACATAAGTATAGTTGTGCAGAAGGATGCTCACAATACTATGGAACGAGCCTGTGATCAATGACAGTTTTAGAGAAAATAGAATCAAAAAGGAAAGTCCTTCTTAACATTAGGAAGAGAGAGTTGAAATTTCTAGGGCACATGATGAGGAAAGAGGGATTGGAAAACCTGATACCCACAGGACAGACTGAAAGTAAGAGATAGCAGCAACTTATTTAACAAGCTTGAGTGAATGGATAGCAGAGTGGGGTTTGGGAGAAATAACAAAAAGACAAAAAATTCACACTCTTTGGTTCCTGTCACTGGATCTAACCAACGCCTTTATCCACTGTGCCATATGTCCTTCAGTTCAATACCCGGTGAAGCAGTGGAGAACTTTCAGAGGGAAATTAGCAGGAGATAACTGATAACTGACATCCATCAAACATGGCATGTGGAACTAGAACAGTCTACCCCAGTGAGCGAAATAAAGGGTTCAGTTCGAAATTCCAACCACCTGAAGAAGGCCGGAGCGTACAACGGCCGAAACATTGTGATAAATATGGTGACAAAGATGAGGACAATAGTCCGAATAATGGACAGGAAATTGTTCAGTACCATGAACGCATATGTTCTGAAGCTCATAAATAAGGAAAGTTGTTTTTCTTGTAAATCATTTATGTTCATACTTATAAAGTAGATTGGATACAACTGACTAGAAAAAGGAATTTGACACATTTAAGTGACTAACCAGGTCATGAGAAAGAGAAAATACAACCAATAGGCTCATTTTCCCTTTCAGCATAAAATTTAATCCGTTAAAAATATCTCAGTCTCTTAATAGTAGGTACATTTAATGTAGGAAATGTGTAGACAAATGGAACAATTATTATGGAACAGAAGTAGTTTTATATAAATAATAGACTGTCTCTGTCCCATAATAGTTGGTACATTTAGTATATGAAATGTGTAGGGAAATGAAACACTTATTATGGGACAGAAGTAGTATTATATATTGGAATGTCCCACACCCCCTATCACCTATGTGGACTGATTATTTATATAGCACAGGATATACCTGGGGGTTTTGATTTGGGAATTACTAGCCTGCTAACCGATTCCCTGTCTTTCAGCAGTGTATTCTCTTTTACAATAAACTTCTCTTTCTTTCATCTATGCACATGTTACTGTTCCTTCACTCGATTACTACCTTTGTCTGTTTGTAACCTCTTTAAGAATACAACATTATATAAATAATAACAGACTACCTCTGTCACATAATAGTTGGTACAATTAGTGTATGAAAATATATAGGCAAATGGAACAATTATTATGGGACAGAAGTAGTATTATATAAATAATAATAATAATAGACTACCTCTGTCCTATAATAGTTGATACAATTAGTGTATGAAATGTGTAGGCAAATGGAACATTGTATTTTATGCCTTTAAAACTGCATGAAAACAAATATTTCAGCTGTTAATTTTTTTTTTTTTTTTTTGTCCAAATGTTTGTTAAAAGAAGAATTTTCTGATGCCTTCCTTTTTCTTTACAGTCAATTATTTACTAACTTTACTAGAATACATTGATGCTGATCAACTGATTGCCCATTATGGCGGGAAACTTTATGATGAAAACAATGATCCAAAATGTTCTTCTCATGTAAGACTTTTTGTTTACCATTCTTTTTTTTTCCGTTTTTGCTTTCTCTCTTCTTTTCTACTCTTTCTTCCCTTTCCCTTTCATTTCCTCCCTCTCTCTCCTCCTCTTCCTACTTACCAAGTCTCTTCCTCTTATTTTCTCTCCCCATCTTACCAGTTTCTTGTCTCTCCTGCTTTTTCTCCCCCTCCTCACTAACTTATTTAACAAGTTGTAGCTTCTACACATTAGATATCATAAACCAATTAAATTGAAATTTTTTAAAATTAAGTAACACTTAATGTTTATGCAAAAGATCTCAGCACCATCTAATTGTATGTTAGAGAAATCTTAGAAGTGTCTTTAAAATTTACTCTATTATATTTTTAGCTTCTGCAATCAGTAGTGCACTGTTTATAAGGCTTAGAAAAATGGTTCAACATGATTGTAGAAAGAAACATCAAATGACATTTAAATAATAAAAATTAAGTATTAAACTTGATTTTCTTGCTCAAAAATTCAACAAGATATTCACTGGCAACATCATGGCTCAATCTACAACTTTCAACATCTCAACCTAAACAGAATCCCCTGGGTGAAAAGTTCTTTGTGTTTAGAATACAAAAGGAATTCTTGGAACTTGGATAGATAAAAAAAAAAAAAGTGCAAAGCCACAGAAAGTAATTGAAAGGGAAAATGATTTTTTTTTTTTTCTGGACATACATACAAGTCAGCCAGTGGGTTTTGTTGCATGACAAGACCTCCCTTCATGTTACAAATGTGAATTAGGGTCTGTCCTCATGTTACAAATGTGACACAACAACTAATCAATTATGCAGTTGGAATAGGAGGTTCTTCACATGCATCTTCTCTCAACCTGTCAGCCTCTCTTGTACTACTGCATGTAACATTTTCTATTTGTTCTGCAGTTCCAAAGATTTCAAAATATAAAAAAATTTCAGAAAGAATTCTTGATGGAAATAATTCTAAATTGATTTCATGGTAAGAACAGCAGTTTTCATAGAATTATTTCCGAATATGATTGTATGCGTAACCAATGGAGCCAAGACTAACTAAACAGGAGGCAAATGCTAATGTTTCTGCTGTTGCGCTATCAGGCCTTCATCAGGAGCTTTAGACAACTCTGATACAGATAGCCTTACAGTCAAGCAAACACACCTTGTTCAGATTTTTCTTGAAAGCTATATCTGATCACTTTTATGTCCAAAATCTAAACAAAAAAAAAAATTATTGGAATTTATAAATTATATATTTTAAAATTAGGATATAGAAATCCTGAGAAATTTTAAAATTTTGACAATTCTAAACTTTCATAAAATAAATTTGTTTAAAAAATATATTTCATAATGCATTTCACCATTAAAGGCTTCATCAGATCCAAAAATGAAGAATGAAATGTGTGTATATTTGTGTACATGCTCAAATAATATATATTTAGACACATTGTTAAATATAACAGACAATGAATGTCTATTAGGTTTGATCATGAGGTGTTCTAAACTTCATATGGTTGCTTTAATTTTGGGTGAAAATAAAGACAAAAATTGTCCAACATTTGGATATTTTTTTATTAAGCTGTTCCTTGATCTAAGCTTTCAACTCGCATGAGCCATCTTCAGAGATGTTATATAGATATTTAAACAAATATAATCACCATCAAAGACGATATTCTATTATAGTGACATGGAAGATTGCTGTGATGAAAATGGTTGTGGAATAGCAGACGCAGGTCATAAATTCATGATACAGTTCTAAACATCGTTGTAGTAAACAAAAAGAAGAAAATGACAAGAGGGGGGTCAGAAAGTGCAGTGCGCCATTCGCCAGCAGACCAGCTGTTCTTCTGTTGTCGTCGGTCGCCTCAAGGAAATGGACTGCGAGACTCTCTTTCTCGGCCGTTACACTGGGCAGTTGTGAAACAGACACCAACTCAGCCACACATACTTCGACTTCCTCTTTGTCCGTCAGTCAATTCATACATCCAACTCTATTGCACGAAGTCTGCCAAATGATCTAAACCTTCTGAGTCAGGCTGCTGGTATCTCGCTTTTTATGCCTGTCTGATATGGCAGAAATTTGCATGTGTGTGAATATCGTCTCGTTTTGGACGAGATCGGTGCACATAAATTGTGTCTTCGACAGCGGCCATATTTCTTTTCTGCATTACTTTGCAGGCAAGACACGTTCACCCTCGTTTTGAACTTCAAGGTAAGTCAGGTCTTTCGTCACAATTGTACCATGTGAGAAGTTTTCTTTAATGTACAAAATAAACACTGTTTTAAAAACTCAGATACAGGTATCCCCTAAAAGTAACATTTGAAGTAAGAAAAAATATCAGATTAAAAATATAAATCCATTATTTCTTTAGAAATTGCTTTATTTACATTTTGGATATCAAACTGAGCAGATATGAATTTCAAGAAACTTCAACTTAAAATAACATTTAATTAACTTATAATATACAGAGAAAGATAAAATTTACACATTTACAGTCACCACATTCAAGAAAATGTGATCTCCAGCAAGATTTGAACCTGCATCCCTCTTTGTAGGAGAAACTACCAGTGTGCTTGACTCTGAGGCTATCTGTATGAGTGGGCTAAAGCACTCTGGATAAGACAGTGGTCCCTCCTATGAAGGAGACTGCAGGTTCAACTATTAAATTTTAACTTTTCTTCACCCAGTATTATTGATTAATGTTGTGTAGTGTTACCGATTCACGGGAAGTAGTATGTACTCAACTGCCTCATGGTTAATAGCTGGAGCTATTTATAGTCTTTTGTGACTTCATGTGTAAATGAGTCACCTCTTCTCCCTGTACCAAAGAGGTCTTATCTTCTTATTTTCTCTGGTAATTCTGCGAGCTTTTACCTTCTTACTATTTTCCTCTCCCTAAGAGATTATCTCGATATGGGAGATCTTGACCTTTTTCTTTTTTCATAGCAGTGTTCCACCAATGATTCTTGTTCATTTTCAGCATCTATATTACTTTTGATTTCACTGTTGTAGTGAAAGAGATAATCAGGTACCCTGAAAAAAAAGTTTGTGTTTTGTGTGCGATCTGCCAAAGAAAAATTACCAAAAATTAGTCAGCAAAAATCTACATCAATGACTAGAAGCTATGCTAATGTTCTTCCCTCCCCTGAATGGCGTGACCAATCAGAAAATTCTCTCGGTGAACAGAAGTCGTCCTTTTTCGCTTATAAAAGGAGATAATTTTTTTTGAGCTGTGAAACGATCACGCGTTGTTGTTGGCGAGAAGTGAAGGTTGGATTTGTGACCCCATTTTGTCATTTCTACAGTGTGTGTTGGACTGTTATGTCGGACTATCGTGTGAACTGTGATTTGGCTACAAGTGTTACGCCCGAGGAACAAAAAATCTATTGCAGTTGCTACTATCAGTTGACAGTCTTTTCTTTCCTACTACCACTGTCTAATTTGTCTTGCCTTAACATGACACTTTTGTCTTCATTACTTTCAGGCTCACTATACATTTCTTTATTGCTATCATGTTGCGATCTAACTTGGTCAACATGCACTAATATCCAATTTCCCTTCTTTTCTATTATCATAGTATTCTGTCCACTTTGCATTATGAATCTTGTTTCTTGTAGATGAGATTCATTATTCTTTTTATACCATTTTTCATTTGTGGCATAAGACATGGTCAACTAGGCTCTAATTTATCTACCCATGAAGGCAGATGGCCTTTTTGATCTTCCAGTATGTGGTATTGTCCTATAACTTAACAATCTCGGAAGAAATGTTTCTATCTTTACTTTCCATTGTAGACATATTTTCAATCTGTTTTTTGTATTTTGCACCATCCTTTCTGCTAATCTGTTTCTGGATGGTAAAGGGGAGTTTTATATGATTTTGTATTCAGCTTTGTTCAACCATTGGCATAGTTCCTCATCACAGAACTCTGGGACATTGTCAGATACTAGCATTTTCAGAATTCAATTTCAAAATATGATCCTTAACAGTTGTTTCAAAGTAAAACTTCTTTTGTTGGAGACCTGTATTACTTCTGGCCAACCTGAATACGAATCTAGCAATATTAATAATAATCCCACTCTATTAACATGGACATGATCCATGTGTACTCCATCCCAAGGATATATCTGTCTAAATTTTCTTCTTTCATGACACATTTTACACCTTTTTATGTATTCTTCGACATCTCTAGAATAGCCTGGCCACCATGCCTCTAGCCTTAATCTCCTTTGCATAGACATTATTCCACAATGAATATCATCATGTATACTTTTTATAATTTTGCTCCCCTGCATTGCTAGTATATATATATATATATATGTACACATCTTCATAATAAATTACACCCTTTTCTACAGTTGTTTAACCTCTTTAAAATGCCTTTCTGCCCACTGGCAACTATTCCGCTGAAGAATATACTGTTCAATATGTCCTCAATTAATTTTTCTATTGACAAAATATCAGTTTCGACCCAGTGTAAGAAAGTCTCTTCAAATTTTTCCTCCTCCTTTCTGACTTTCAGTAGTAATAAACCTCATTCATGACAAAGAGTCTACTTGCCTTTCAGATACTCAATATCGAAGTCAAACACCATTAAGACCAATCTTAAAATTCTAGAAGACATATCTTAAGACATTCCTTCCTGGGATAAATATGAATTCTAAAGATCTGTTTGAACCTTAATAGGAATTTCTTTCCAATGAGAAAACCAAGCTCTAATAATTATGCAAAAGGTTGAGTAATCCATTGAGTACCCTCTTACAAATAGCTGCTTGGTTTTAAAGTAAATTATATAACATATAAAACATACGAACAGAGATGTATAGACAAATGAATATAAACATCAGACACAAATAATAAAGGCAACTCCAAAATTGATTTTACTTGAATGTAATCAGCTACAAGGAGTAGGAAGTCGTGGAGAGCCATGATCACCAATATTCTGAAAGGACACAGCTCATAGAATGATGAGCTTGTGTAAATTGATGGCAGAACATGGTTTAGGAGAGTTAACAAAAAGATAAAAGATAAAGAATGTTAAATAATCGTTTAGCAGACTATTATTTTTTTTTAGAGGAAGTGTATTGCTGCTTCCACTTTCTGAGGTTGACCTTTGAGGTCAGATGGAAGACAAAAGAAGGAATTCAATTTTGATTAGCTGAGTCACCATGAAAACAATAGCTAGAGAAAGGTTTTCAGTGAATTGTTTCTGAACTATTGAGCAATGTAGATGTGTTCTCTTTTGTGTCTGAAATGGCTCCCCGGTGAGGGAGTAACCCCATTGGATAGTTAAAAAAATTTAGAAGTCGACATGATTAATAAAACTGCTAAATTAAAATTCCCTGTGTTGAAGTTCTTTTTCTGGACTCAAAACAACTAGCCAAGAGAGAAGAATGCAACTTTATTATTGAATCAATATCATCATCCAAGACCTCCCCAGAACATGGAGACTATACAACATTATTATCAAAATAGTGCAGTGACCAAGACCTCCAGCATGAGAGGGATATGCATAATGGTAGGAAGTTGTAGAGAGCCATGATCATCAATAATCCTGAAGGGAGGCAGCATATAGAAGAATGAGTTTGGGCAAATTATTGGCAGAATAGGGTTTAGAGGAGATAACAAAAAGATAAAATTTACTAAGAGCGACAAAGGATAGGAAGTTTTGGAGAGTCATGATTGCTAACATCTTGAAAGGACAGATCATATAGAGGAAGAATCAATATTTGAATGCTTACAAACATGGCAAATTTTAACAATGAAGTCAACATTGATTTTACATGCCAAGTGAATATTAAAAACAAGCTGAAAACTTTTGTTTGTTAAGCGAGTGTGATGGAACTTTTGATCATTCGCAGTTGATCCCTGGAATTACAATGATAGATTCCCATCATCCTCACTGAATGGATTGATAATTTTTAAGGATGTTTTCCTGAAATATCTTCCAACTTTTAAAAAATATATAAGTCCTTTGCATCAGTTTTTTTAAAGCAGTTATTTTTCAAATGTTGATGTTTTGTAGATATGCTATGGAGGTGCTGTACCAAAAGAGTATTTCAAGACTTCTGATAAAGATGACATTGAGAACTTTACAGAAGTGACGATTAAAAGAGGATCTTCTGTTGAAATAAGCGCAGACATCACAGTACCTGGCAGTTTGTTGTCGTAAGTAAATTCTTGAAATAGTCTCCTTTCTATACAAAATGTTTCTTAATATGAAATTTCATTATTTGCATTATTTACATGGTTTGGACTGTTATCCTCAACAACATTTCGGCCATTGTACATTCCGGCTTTCTTCAGGTGATTGGAATTTCGAACTGGACACTTTATTTCATCCACCGAGGTAGATTGTTCTAGTTCCACGTGACATTCCTCTTCTGGACATCTCAATTATCTCCCTTTAATTAAACAATCCAAGTTTTTGTTTACCACTGCCATAGCCAGGTACTGAACTTACAACTCTTGACCCAAAGAGTTGTGAGTTCAGTACCTGGCTAACGCAGTGATGAACAAAAAACGTGGAGATCTGAGTTAAAGGGAGATAACTGAGATATCCAAAGGAGGCATGGTACATGGAACTAGAATAATCTACTTCAGTGGATGAAATAAAGGGTTCAGTTCAAAACTCCAATCACCTGAAGAAGGCTAGAGCTTACAATGGCTGAAACTTTGTGGACATATCAATAAAGATGAGGACAACAATATAAATAATTAAAATACCTCATCTCAGAAATATAGACAGACTGAAGAAGGCCAGAGTGTACAATGGCCAAATAGTCATGAATATAGCAACAAAGATGAGGACAACAGTCCAAACAATGTAAATAATGTAAATAATTACAATACCTCATCTCGGAAATATAGACAGATATGAAATTCTGTATTTTCTTTAACAAAGAAAACAATTTTTTTTTTATCTCCAGTAACCTCAGATCTCCTTTTTTATCTTTGTAACAAAAACAAATGCTGTCTGCATGCAACAGTCAGCCCATTGAGAATTTTTCAACTGTTAAAATATGCAGGGAATTTTTGATTCTTGAAACAATTCTTTTTCCAAGAGTCAGATCAGACCAAAAATGGAGTATTGCTGTCATATATGGGCTGTAACTACACAATCCTCACTTTCCAGAGTTCACAAAGCATTTATGCGAACTTCTATGTTATGAATTATTTTCCACCCTACAACCTCTTTCCCACAGACACAATGTAACAAGCCTCGCTCTAATCTGTCACTATTGCTGTGGAAAAATGTTCTGATGAGTTACATTACTTGGGATGAGGAACTATCGATCTACAAAAATCTTACGTCTTGCATGAACTCCAGTATTGAATCATTTCAAACCCCCATCAGAAGTTGAATGAAGAAATGAGAGCCTCAGTCTTTTTAATCTCTTTCTAGATTATGCCCTATGCATTTACAAACACAGAGGTGGGCATAGAGCATTTAAACATTCCATATCACATCCAAAATGAATCTACCAGTAGAAAACAACAATCCTGCTTTTCCTCCCAAGGCTAATTGATGCTTAGTTGGCCATGCTGATGTCATAGGTGTTTGTAGTTGGCCATGCTGATGTCGTGGGTGTTTGTAGCTGGCCACGCTGATGTCGTGGGTGTTTGTAGCTGGCCACGCTGATGTCATAGGTGTTCATAGTTGGGATAAGAAAAATTGGCATCTTTTATCAACTGTTCCAAGAAATGGGTCTTAAGATAAGCCTTTCCAAAACAGAAACATTGATCTGGAATTGGGATGAAAGCACTGATGACACCTACCTTGAATCAATCATCAAAATTCAGAATGTGGATTTAGTAAATATTAAACACTTCAATTATCTCAATGTATGGATCATTTGTAACCAATTTAGTTAGGAGAAAAGAAAATTGAACATAGAATAGATTACGCCAGGAATATTTTCTTATAACGCAACAAATATCAGGATACTAGTCTGGATGTAAAAGTAAATTATTTCTTATTTGAGAAATTCAGTCATAAATTATAGAATAGCGATGTAACCAATTTTTTTTTTTTTTTATGAATGTAATTAATAAATATTCCTCAAGACAATTTTGATAAAACATTGGTTGGGATAGAAGGTGTGGATTATTTACATTTGGACTAATATCCTCATCTTTGTTGTTCTTATTGCAGTGTTTTAGACATTGTGCCTTCTGTCTTTCTTCAGGTGCTTGTTGATCCAAGAAAAATTCAGGGAAGTTCAAACGGAATTTAATCTGTGTGTATGTGGGTGGGGGTTGAGTTTTTCCCCTGCCGTTGTCCATATCTTGTCTACTTCTTATTTATTACTGCTTATTTATTGTTCATCCTGTTTCCACTGAGACTATATCTGAACTAATCAGCCCAGGGATTGAACTCACATTTACAGCGTCACCAAATTCATGAACCAACACTGTTGTCTTTTGAAGCTTGATTTTGGTTCCTTAAGGCTAATTCCAGTCGAATCCATTACATTCACTTACATGCTGATAACCTTGAAAAAGATATGACTCCTATTCCCCTGCCCCCATAGCTATGGGTAAATAGCAGGACAGACTGGGTTCTATAGCTTTGGATGACAACTGATCTACTGCAGAAAGAAATGGCAACCTACTGCAGGAAAAAAATCTGCCTCATCAGTCATGTATTAAAAAATACATGATCACCTAAGCATGTGTCATGCATGGCACATAACTGACTGAAGCCTAATGTTCTATTCTTCCTGAATCAGCACGTATGCTATGATGGTCTCCTTAACATAGAAATAAATACAAGAGTCATTAATAAAGAAAGTAGGAAAGATATGACAGCAAGGCCTTAACAATAGCAGCAGCAAAAAAAGAAGCAGCAGTCAAGCAGTAACCAGCAATAATTAAGCAGTACTAAAAAAGAACAAGATGAGATAACCCTAGATAACCCTGCAGAATGAAAACAACCACCATTGATTGAATAAAGGGTTTAGTTCAAAATTCCATGAATTTTATTCGGATCAACAGACACCTAAAAATGCTGGAATGCACAACAGCCAATTTTATTTATTCAGTCGAGCTAGTTTAGACATTTGTGAACCTGTGGGAATCACTTACATGTGCCACACCTCCACTTTCTTTAATGTCATTGGTTAATAAATACATGATACTTATTATATGACAATTTAACCATCGCAAGTAATTCAAATTTTTCTCTAAAATCCCAGATTAGTCCATTTCCTGACCAATCGCGTATTTTAGTATCTTTTCTATATTTTTAGCGCCAAGCTCTCCAGAGCCTATCCATCATTATATAAAGACTCTCGCTGTTTGCTAACAGTCAGTAGCAGTTCAATTCTTGGAAAATAAGGCATGGCGCCATATTGACATTTTAATTCTTAATTATTACTAATTTGAGTAATCATACTAATTCTTATTGATATCACTCATGAACATTGCATCTTTCTACACTGATAAAACACTGTGAAACTATTCTTTATTTAGCTAAGACTTCAATTGAACTTTGCAGTTAAATAACATTCAATATTGTACTCAACATTAATTAGCTAAACTTACCCTTTTTATTACGGAAAAAGGGAAGCAACTTTCTTTATACTTATTGTTGAAATTTGTATACCATTGTTAATACAATATATTATTAATGTTCACTGAGCTTGATTGTTTTTCTCTCGTGTATTGTTGTTCATAAATTAATGTAGGGTGTTGTTTTACAAGAACACAGCTTTCTTTGATCTTGATTATATTCTTGGTGACCCTAGCCAACAAATACAACCACAACAATTCATACTACACCTCTACAAACCTATCATGTCAACCATTATGGTCCTGCATCAAGGTCTAAAGGTCATTAAGGTGGCATCCTGTATCATTAGATAACTGGTCAATGTAGGTGGTTACTGGATGACCAACCCATCTTGTTCATTCTTGTTTTGCTCACCAGCAGTGTCCTGTAAAGTGCATGCTGCGTTCACGTCAGATTGTAGAAATATTAGGGCTGAGACTATAGAGATGTGATTTAGTTGGGTGTTGTCTCCAAGAGATGTTAAGTATTGTTCTCAGCATCTGAGTGTAGTTTCTATCAATCTTAGACTCAAAGATTTTAGTTAATATCCAAGCAGTGGCACTATATATTAAAACCGATTCTACAGTGGCACAAAAGAATCTCTATTTGAGGTTGTCTGGTAGATCAGATTTTCAGATTACATTCATTTTATTCAAGATGGCCCAGGATTTAGCTATGAGAATTTTCATATCCTTTTCAGTTGAATTTATTTCGCTTCCTAGATTGTACACATCTTTGTCTTTTCGGCCATATTCCCTCATTGGTCTTCATCAGGTGTCTATCGATCTGGGTAACCTACTGGAAACAATGTTTATTTCTATCTGAATTTGTGAGATGAGCAGTTATCATTATTTGCACTATTTTTTATTATTATTCGGTCAAGCTTGCTTGTACATTCATCAGTCATTTTGAGTGACATCCAGGGCCATTACATCGTTGGTCAATGTAGATGGTTACTGGGCCACCAGCCCAACTTGCTCTATGGCTAGGTTTCCAGAGCAATAGTTCATGCACAAGCTCTTGTTTTGCTTACCAGCAGTGTTCTACAATGCGCATATTGCATTTGCATAAGTTTGTAGAAATATCAGGGATAGGTAGATAGAGCTGTGATTTAGTTGAATGTTGTCTCCAAGAGATGTTAAGTATACCTCTCAGCATTCGGGTGTAGTTTCCAAAATCATAGACTCTTGAGTTTTAGTTAATATCAAAGCAGTGGTACCATATATTAAAACCATCTCTACAGCAGTTCAAAAGAATTGCCATTTGAGGTTTTCTGGTAGATCAGGTTTCCAGATTCTGGTAGCTCAGGTTCCCAGATTCTGGTAGCTCAGATTTCTAGATTACATCCATTTTATTAAAGGTGGCCCAAGCTTTAGATATGTGAATTTTCACATCCTTTTCAGTTGAATTTATTTCACTTCTTGGATACAACTGCCAAAATGTTGGGATAATAACAACAAAGATGAGGACATTAGGACAAATGTAATTAATGATAATGCTGCATCCCAGAAATTGTTAGGTGAAGCACCATACAAAAGAAAAATAACTGATTTTAGTTTCCTCTTTAATGGATCAATTCCTGCTCTAAAATGTTTTGCAATATACAAAATGTCTATTTTGATATGCTATATTTATGGGTGAGAGTGATAGTGTATGTAAATATAAAAGTGGACAATTAAGTCTGGCCTGAAGATTGCGTTCAAACATGAAACCCTGTCACCACTTGGTGCTGACCTCAGTGTCTGCTTATATTGCAGCACAATTTTTCACAAGGATATTAAAACATAACCCTTGATGTTAAAATCAAAATGAAAGTATATAAATATCCCAAATATTGTGGGATTGATGTAGTTATATTACAATGAAGCAGTCATCCACAGAACAAATTAGTAAGGTTAATGTAATAAATGGTGAATTCACTTTGCTAATAAATTTAAAAAGTACTAACCCACTAACCACTCGTTGAATGATGTGATTCTTGTTTTTAGATGTTCCATAAATATGCTAGTACTTTTAATAGGTCATCCTATCATCGGCA